GAAGAGCTCAGATGAAGTAAACTGATATGCTACCTAGGGCAATGGGGGTATTTGTATCAGAGTCAGTCAAACTGGCTCAGGAAAGGACAGACTTCAGAGCTATTGTACATAGGGTCATTATGAATCTCAGGTGACTCGATGGCACATAACAACAACAGTAGCAAAGGTGTTAATTGTGAATCCAAGAAAGATGAAACTTCTGGCAGTTTCAATCTCCTCTTCATGCATCATTATGGATACATACACATAAATGTTAAGGTTATATATTACTATGTTAAGGAGGAGTGGCATCTACTTCCATAATAGCTTGCCTCCAGAAACCGTATGAACCTGGAGATGAAAGGCACCCAAGCGTTGAGGACTCTCCTTCATAGGGTCGCTATGAGTCACCTGTGACTCGACGGCACTTAACAACAACAACAACAACAACAACATTACTATGTTAAGAGATTTGACTGTATGGATCACAAAACATTCTGTGACTAACTCTGAGAAAAACCTATACTGGGACCAGGAAACAGTCGTCAGAACAGAGCAAGGAATCTGCATTGTTCAAAATTGGGAAGAATGTACACCAGGGATGTGTCTTATCTCCATATCTTTTCAAGCTATATGCGGAACAGATTATCCTGCTTGTTGGGCTATATGAGGAGAAATATAGCATCAGGATTGGAGGAAGATTCATCAACAATCTGCATTATGCAGATGACACAACCTTGCTTGCTGAAACTGAGGAGGATCTGAAGTGATTGTTGCAGAAGATCAAGAATTGCAGCCTTCAATATGGATTGAAGCTCAACATCAAGAAACCCAAAATTCTCACCACTGGGCCTATTGGCAGCATCATGATAGATGATGAAGAGGTTGAGATTGTTAACAGCTTCAGTTTTCTTGGTTCTACAATCAGCATTCTTGGTACCAGCATACAGAGAATTAAAAGATCAATTGCATTGGGAAAGTCTGCTGTCAGAGACCTCTCCAAAGTACCGAAGAGCAATGATGTCAGTCTGGAGACTATGGTGCACCTGAGCCAGGCAATTACTTTGTCTTTGCAATTACTTGTTATGCATTAGAAAAGTGAACAACGATTAGAGGTGATACAAGGAGAAGTGATGCTTTTGAGTTGTGGTGCTGGAGAAGAGTATTGAATATACTATGGACAGCTAGGAGAAAAAACAGGTTCATCCTGGAGAGGGTAAAAACAGGCTGCTTCTAGGAGCAAGGATTCTGAAGTTTCATCTGACATACTTCGTTATGTTGCAAGGAGGGACCAGTCCTTGGAGAGGGACATCATGCTTGTGAGGCTGGAGGAACAGTGTAGGAGAGGAAGACCCTATGGATTGATTCAGTGACTGAGGTAATGGGAGTAGGTGTGTCAGAGACAATAACATTGGCACAAGGTAGAGCAGGGTATAGGGCTGTTGTACATAGGATTGCTATGAGTCACAAGTGACTTAAACGTACCTAACAACAACAATAACACTATCTATCTATCTATCTATCTATATATATAAAATATATTTGGAGCATGTTGCCAGGAAGGAGCAGTCCTTGAAAGAAGGACATCATGTTTGCAAAGGTGGAGGGAGAAACAGTGCAGAAAAGGAAAATTCTTGATGAGATGGATTGACACAGTAACTCGGGTACTGTGGGTAGGAACTGAGGGTAGATACTGGAACAGGAAAGGGCAGGGTCCAGAGCTACTGTGCATAGAGTCACTATTAGTCACAGTAGGTTCAATGGTATATTACAACAACATAATTAGATATATGTAGATACAGATAGTGGCCTCCATCGGGTTACCAAAGCTGTAAATCTTTATAGGAGGGGATTGCCCATACTTCTCCCATAAAGCAGCTGGTGAGTTTGAATCATCAACTTTTCAAGTAGCAGCTTGTTACATTAAACACTACACCTTAGATGAGATGAATGGATGGATGGATGGATGGATGGATGGATGGATGGATGGATGGATGGAGACAGAGAGAGATTTCTAAAAGAGTCTTAAATTTATGACATATTCATGCTTGGCTGTTAAACAGAAACTCAGTTAATTCAAGCAACCAACCACTCCACAGGAGAAAGAAGATGTAGTCTAGTACTATAAAGGGGAAAAAAATAAAATCTACTTCTGATTAGTCCATTCCAATTCAGGGTGTTCCTTCACTGAGTTTCCAAGACTGCAAATATTTACAGAAGCCGTGAGTAGATTTGAGTCAGTGATCTTTTGACTAGCATCTATACCCACTATACACTGCACTTCAGCCTTCCAAACATTCTGTGTGCACTCTTACTTGTATTTACTGTCACCCAGATCTAGACGCTGATGAGAAGTTAGTCACATAGACTTCCTATCTGCTGACTATCCCACCAAATTTTACTCCTTGCTTCTCCCTTTATCTTGAAAACCCTCAAAGGACAGCATACCCTTATGTGCAAGGATATGAGCACAGGAGAGAAATATCTATGCTTTTAATATGCTGTCATTCTGTCCAACTAGTATTTCACTTCTAAAGTCTTTGTTCAGTAATGTTCTCAATTTCATTGCACTTCTTTTCTCTTCAATAACCAATAATAGATGTTTGCCTTTGTCTTTCATAGAGAGAGAGAGATGAGATGAGAGAGAGAAATATGAAATAGAGAAAGAGAGATGAGAGAAATGAGAGGGAGAGGGAGAGAGGATGAGAGAAGGAGAGAAAGAGAGAGAGACAGAGAGAGAGAGAGATGAGAGACATAGAGAGAGAGATCAATCTTGCTCAGTAATCCCAGCAAACTTCAAATAAAAGGGACAGAACGGATTATAAAAGCTGAAACTCTGAGCTTTCTATGTGTGTGTGAGAGAGCCTGATACACAAGCAACCCTAGAAGAGGACTCAGCCTGACAGAGATTGGGACTTCTGCACTATGTCCTCTTAGAACACTGACACCCTTAGGATGGATATTGACAGCCCCATTCCCTATAAAATCTCTTTCCTTCCTCCTTCATAGTGTTGTGTCCTCCTCAATCCTACCTTTCCCAGGCAAGTCGGTATTACTTGTACTGAGAAAAGGTTGCCCAGTACATACCTCCTCTCTTCTCAGTAGTTTCCTGGGACGCTTCATTTTCCAGATGTCTTCTCTGTTGCCACCGCTTCATACCAGAGATTCCTTAGAAGATGCCTAATAACCAATTTCTTCTTTCTCTTACACGCTGACCTTTCTTGACTCTCAGGAAATTCATTGAAATGAACCAATACAAATCAAAGTAGTCTCTTAAATTGAAGAACACAGGCCACTTAGTGAACCGGAAGCACTGTCCAGTGCTCACTATACCACAGAACTGTTAAGGTTCAGAGGTTGAAAGGTTAGTAGAAAGATTCTCTGATCTCAAGTATGACATCAGATCATTCTGTGGATCTAGAGCTGTCTTAGTTATGGCAACCACTTTAGTTATATACCACTGTCTAGTGGTTGCTATGACAGAGATATGACAAGTAGATGTCCTTAACAAACTAAAATTAAATCTCTAACAGTTTGGTGGTTGGTGATGATGTTAGGTGCTTCCACATCGACTACTGGTCATAGTAAACTCATGAACAAACTATTTGAACCCTCCCTCATCTTGTGCTGTCCTCATCATCTCCAATATACTTGAGCAGATTGTTAATGTGATTGTGTCAATCCACATTTCTGAGGGCCTTCTCCTATGCTGATCTTCCACTTTTGTAAACATGATGTCCTTCTCAGGACTTGTCTTTCCTTACAATATACCCAAAGTATATGAGATTAAGTTTCACCCCTCTTACCTCCGAGAAGTTCCCTGGTTTCACTTTCTCCAAAATAGACTTTTTTTTTTTGGACTGTCTGTGAGATATTCATTACTCTTCTCCAATACCACAACCCAAAGGCATTGATCCTTCCTCATACCTCCTTTGTCACTGTCCAACTTTCAGATGCCTAGGAAGTAATTGAAAGACTATGACTTATATCAGGCACACCTTACTTTTTAAACCAACATCATTGAACTTCAGTACTCAGGAGAGGTTTCTGATAGCAGATTTTCACAGTGTAAATTGTCTCTTGATTTCTTAACTGCTAATACCAAGGGATCAAGTGTTCTGGGATTCCGATCGTTCTAATGCGAAGCTTATACTTGGACCAGGAGGCAGTCGTCAGAACAGAGCAAGGGAACACTGCATGGTTCAAAATTGGGAAGGGCGTACGCC